AAAATTGGTCATTCAAATAATTATTATGATCTAGACCTAGAAGATAAAGTTCGTACGTAGACTTTGTTTTCCTATTATTGAAAGCCCTTTTGTGTTCTACTATTGGTTTGGTAAAGTTTCTACCTGTTGGGCCAATGTAAATTTTTTAGCAGTCACCACTATGAATTTAGCTACTTTTTGTTGATGTCTGGTCTGTTTATGTAGTGGTATACCGACAAAAGGACGCGGAAAAAAGGACGCATAAAAAAGGACGCGGAAAAAAGGACGCGTGGAAAAAAGGACGCGTGGAAAAAAGGACGCATATTATTAATGAAATACTATAAATAGTTTATTTTAATTGACAATAGCAATTACCTCCGTTTATCCCCTATTATATAATTACAGAAAATGATTCTACCTAACCTAAAATCGGTTACGGTAAAAGTAAAAAGTGAAAAATATTTATATGAAAAAAACTTGCCTTTACACTTTATCCAGGCTTAGGACTGGCAGCAGAAGCTGGCGTGTTTAAAAGTTTTTCTTTATTTTTTTTTTTAATTTTTTGCTTTTTTTGGAATTTTTTTGTCATTTTATTTTTTTTTGTTTTATTTTTGATATTAATTTTTTTTGTTGTTTTTTTTATGTTTGCAACTGAAAATTGTGAGCAATGCCTCTCAAATATTCTAAAGTTGGCCTGTCAGCATAATCGGCAACAATAGCCCTAATCCTGTTTGCTGTATATTGATATTTTCTTTTGCGTGGAGGTACATTGCCCGAAATGTACTGCTCTATTTTGAAAACATTTAAATCATATTCTTTTTGTAGAGAATTAATAAATTACCAAATATTCGAATGTGCACTATCGAGAAGAGAAGAAAAGCTGTTGTGCCATCCTTCGACAGCATTATTAGTTCGAGGTATATCTTGGTCTGCCAAATCGTAACAATTCCATACATTTGCTGGAAAAAGGGGTTGTCTTCGATTTCCTCTTCTAGCTAATCTCCCTATCCAAGTGTCTTCAAAGTAATTAATCAGCGGCACTAGTAGTTCTTCATTTTGTGTATAAAAATCGCTATTGAGCAACTCCTCGTACACTCTGACTACATGGTTGTCTGGAACAAACGCAAGAGCTGTCAATTGTCTTAGGTGAAGGGCGAAGTCAGGATTCTCAATATATCTACGTTGCAATCCGGCACTTTGAATATGGCGCCACATACACTGCGAGAAATGAAAAAAACATCCGCGGATTCTCACATTTGGGAACTCTGTTTGAGCACCATTCATTGCCGCTCTTTCAAAGTCCATCATTATTGTTAGAGGGCGCAAGGCCGGATTCAACACCTCTAGTTGCTGAAAAACACGTGTATAAGTCTCTTGTGTTTTGTTCGTTAGAAGTGCAAATACAGTCGGGATTACATTACTGTATCGCACTCCATGAATTGTGTATATTTGAGAAAACAATGGTGGTGCTGAGTTAAATGTTCCATCGGCATACCAATGATCGCATTATTCCATAAATCTTAAATTTCTTTGTGTTGAAAATAACAAAATACGTTCTTCTTCTGGCCCGCTATCAAATAATAGAAATAGCTCACCGCCTGTAGTTGTTCTATATTCTTCAGAAAGCACAAGTTCTTCTAAATTTCTCGGATTTGCGGTCGTACCTCCTAGCTCGTTTCGAACTCTTTGCACAGTTTTTTTTAACGACGACACTGATGGAAGTTGTGCCGTAGCAGCTAAGGAAAGTCCTTGAGAAATTTCAATTGCTACACCTTGGGTGGAGTGTTCCAGTTGTTGTGCAACTTCTTTCATCCGGTTACAAGCTTCTTTTGCTTCAATCTTTGCCGTGTCTGCAACGTGATTATGTTCTGTGGAGTTTGTAATTTCATCCACAACGGTATGCACTCTTCCTGTACATTTGCACTTATTATAAGTAGCACACTTCCAAATTGTCTTTTCACCAATGACTTGCTCTTTTTTATCGAGAAATCCATTATAAAGTAACAAATTGTTGCCTTTTTGGCTTTTCACAAACGCTAACACCATCTTAACGGACTGATATCAATTTGTAAAATGTTTTCTTGTTAAGAACAGAATAAATTACCTACCGCGACAAGTTTCCCCTATATAAACAATTTGGTTAATGATGTTTTGTTATATCGGACCTTTTGTAATATTCATTTCTTAAAAACAATTAGCAAACAATTAGAAAGTTTTATTTTCTTACTAATCGTTTCTATTTACATTCTTATCATTACCTGCGGAATTTACCAACTTTCCAGTTCGCGTTAAACCCTTATTGGACCCTTTACTGGGCTGGTACTTGGGTTTTTTTAATACCATACATAATGCTGATAATATGGAATCTAACCTGTTTCAATACCAGAAATCTTGAATCAACATTATATTAGTATTTATTATTTTACTTAAGATATTTTAGTCCTAAGCCTCGATAAAATGTGAGGGCAAGTTTTTTTCATATAATTATTTTTCACTTTTTACTCTTACCGTAACCGATTTTAGGTTAGGTAGAATCATTTTCTGTAATAACATATGGGGATAAAAAGGGGGTAATGGCTAATGTCAATTAAAATAAACTATTTATAGTAATTCATTAATAATATGCGTCCTTTTTTCCATGCGTCCTTTTTTCGCGCGTCCTTTTTTCGCGCGTCCTTTTTTCCGCGTCCTTTGGTCTCGCGTCCTGTTTTCCGCGTCCTTTTGTCGTAGATTCTTATGTAGTCAAGCAGAAGGTACTAGTATTTTGCTCTGGTGGCGAAAAGACTAATTTCGGGGGTTGCTTCTGCAGTTTTGGTTTAAAATTTTATTATTTGTTTGTTCGTTGTACCAATTATTTACTGATATTTGCTTAACGATATTTAATTCTATCTTTAAGTTATTTTTTGATATTTTTGTTAAAATTTTAACATGCAGGGGTATAAATACAGCCAATTTATGTTGTGTAGGATGAAATGATGGATTGTATTTAGTTTATGGGTATTTTTATGATAAACGAAAAATTCATGTTTGTTTCCAAGTCTGATAATTTTTAAATGTAGATAATTTATGAATTGATTGTTTCTGTTTATAGTGCAAATCTGGAGTGAATGAATGTAACATAACAATTGATCAACTTGTTCTGTAAAATATACCAGTGTATCGTCCACGTATCTCCATCAATATAAAAATAGTTTGAATACAGGATGTTTTGAAACCTGTGTTTCTAAATGAATGTTTCTCATATGCTCAAATTTAAACGGTTTTAAGCTGTTATATGATTTTCATTATTTGTCAACAATTTCTCTAGCTTATTGTTTTGGACAGTATTTTTATAACAAGCATATAGAATACTTCTCTTTTATTTTTTATTGAACTCTTGGTAGTACCTGCATTCTTTTGATAGCGAAAAATCCTTAGGTTATTTATTGAACATTAACAATGCAGTACAATAAAGAAATGCTATGTGTAAGACATCCAATCAGAATTTTGCAGGAAGAAATATAAAAAATTGCTGCACAGAACGAAGAAGAAATAATCTGGTTCTTTTGCTAACGTCAACAATGAATATACAAATAAGAGGCTCTTTTGCTCAATGATTTTGTCAATTTGGGCTATATTAAAATTTTGAAATACACTTTTACAAAAAAAAGAGTCATATATCTTATGTAACACTAGCCAAAAAAAGTCGCCTAAAATTAGCAGATACAAGTACCGCAATATCATATCTATAATGACCGAAAATCTTCCATTTCTTTTCATATCTTCTGACTTACTATGTTTGGATTATTATGAAATTGTAACATATTTTCTAGTCAAAGAAATTTACCAAATTTTACAAGTAATTGTATAGGATAATTGTTATTAATAATTATTTTATAAGTAAAGATAAATTTTATAGACTGAAGGACAAGAAAAAATATATTAGAAAAGTGGATGATGCGCTAGACATTGTTGTATGTCTACCGAAGCTAGCACAATTTTATAAAGAGTGTACATACACATTTTTTTCGAATATATATTGTTAATTTGATAAATGTGATTATTCCTGTGAAGCAAAGATTTTGTACTGAAATCTTTGAAATATTATCATTCAATATGGACACCTTTAATGTTTAAAATCTACATTATGTCTCTGTAAGACCTATGTAATTATTGTAAACATCTCAATAAAGTGTTTATGCTATAGTTTTGTGTTTATTTGTATCTTATTAGTATGTAGTTTGTCTTAGATTTCCTCTGAATTAATAAAGACAAAACTATACATCGGTATAATATCGCTTGTTCTTTACAATCATTTTAGACGTCATAAAAAATATACTATTCTTACTTTTAGCATATCGTCGGCGTCATGTGAAAATTGCGTAAGTCCACTTTTTAAGAAAATCCGTATTTTAATGCCATCTTGTTAAGCAGTTCGAACTGCATAACACTACAAAATATTTTAGTTATTACTTACTAGATGGTGCCACAAGATATGGATTTGAATGTTGCCTAAATTCGACGTTATCTGAAGCAACGTGAATTTTGCGTAAGTCCGCACATTCTACACTGTGAACGTGGTTTAATAACGTGCATCCAGAATTATTGCATTTATCCGTTTAAAAACAAGATTTTTAGTGAAATAGTAATTGTAATTGGCTGTCAAATAGTTCAGGTAAGTAAGTTTAGAAAAATAGGTTCACACGGACGTGTTTCTTTTTGTTAAATTCTTTTAAACCTAGGCATGGGACTTAGGCATTTTTCAGTTTTCATTTCAAATGGAGTTTCGCCATTTTCATATTAAAATTTGCTTTGTTGATTTCGTGCACGTGTTGCGATTCTAGAAATAAAATAAAGGGACAACAGAATCAACTTTGAGTTTACTAACTTATTTTTGTTCCCTTTTTATATTTAACCTCCAGATCATTCACTTTCAATATCATAGCACAACCCGTGCATTTAATTCACGCGTGAAATTCGTATAATATATTCGTGAAATACATATAAATCAGACTTAAATATAATATATTTTTTTTTTTCAGAATGAATGAGAGTCCAAGAAGTTTTAAAATACTAAGCAAAGTGACACTTACAAGTGAAGATAAAGATGGTGCTTCCTCGAGCCAACATAAAAACAAAGTAACGGTTATTACTGATGTTAATAAACCCGTTGGAAAATCCGAGCCAAAAGTTGTTATTTTAAGCGACGTTAGCAATAGTTCTTTAAATTCAGATTATTTATCCGATCCATTAAAAAGTTTAAAAGAGTGTATCGAAGCCCAAAAAACTCTTAATGTATCTAGAGAAGATTTAGAAGAAAATATTGATCCCAACATAAGCGGCAATGAAGATTTTGTCCAGGAAATCATAGCACTAGATAACACTGATATTTTAGATGCCTTTATAGACCTAGATTCTCTAAACAACGCCGATGTAACTATTGAAGAGGTTAACTACAAAAATAATCGAAGATGGGATAATGTTTTGAATAGCGATAAAGAGAAATTAGAAATAACTAACAGTACAAACTTTACCGAAGCTTCTAAAGGCAACAATGCAAATGAAATAAGAAACTCAACTAGTTTTGAAAACAATATCGATATAAATGCCGCGAAAAAGGAAATTTCCGGATTACATGATGACTCATTAGAAAAAGAGAGCAGCTCAGAAGCGGAAAAAAATGTTGCTGCAGATAATGATATTAAAAAGCGCAAAAGAAAGAAAAACAGATTAAGCGACAGTCAAGACTGGGAGTACAATACCAACAAGAAGAAAAGACAAGAAGGGGCAGCATATAAGGGAAGAAAGGATAATAAATTTTTAGTGCAGAAACATAAAAGGAAATTAAAAATTAGGTGTTCGTGTGAAGAAAAAACGTCAGATATTTCAAAAATTCTGGAGCTTTACATGGGAAGAAAAAAAAGTATTTGTCTGTGGAAGAGCGATTGCCTCAAGTATCAAAAGAGCCAGAAACCGAAAATCTGAAGGGGAGAGTCGAAGGAAGTGCTCTTTTTCTTTCTTTCTAGACAAGAAAAGGAAAGAGTAAGGGTGTGCAAAACCATGTTTTGCAACACGCTGTGTGTGTATGAGAACTATTACTCATTGGTTAAATGAAAGCGTCAATTCACCAGAAACCAACAAAAAGTGATCGAGTGGAAACTACAAAAAGTAATGATTTCGACAATAAGAAGCAGTTAAAACATGATAAGAAAAAAGAAACAGTTAGAGATTTTTTTACCAGCTTGCCAAAGCTAGAGGCTCATTATTGTCGGAAAACTTCTTCTAAACTATATCTAGAGCCACGCTGGAAAACCAAAGCTGAATTGTATGACTTTTACCAAAATGTTTGGTTACCAGATAGAAAAACAGAACCGATTGGATTGACCCTATTTTAATATATTTTTGAGGAGTTAAATTTGTCTTTATTCAGTCCCAAAAAAGACCAATGTGATATCTGTGTAGGATATCGAACACAAAACGTTTCAGAGTTAGTTTATCAGGAACACAGAATTAAAAAAGATGAGGCGCGCAATGAAAAAGAAAAAGACAAGGAGTCACTAAATCAAGTTTTTACTATGGATCTGCGATCTGTTCTATTGTGCCCACACTCAAACGTGTCTGCGCTCTATTATAAAACTAAATTGATTCTTCACAATTTTACGATTTTTGATTTGCATACAAAGGATGTTTTTTATGGCACGAGGGGCAAGGAAAGTTAAAGGCGAACTGTTTTGATTTGATTATTTGCACTTTTTTATATACCAAAGTTTTACCAAACATGGATCCAAACAACAAATTTATTATCCTTTACAGTAATGGTTGTGGTGCACAGAATCGCAATTCCATTTTATCGAATGCCCTTTTAAATTTTTCAATAGAAAATAATGTTTGTATTATTCAAAAATACTTAGAGAAAGGTCATACACAAGTGGAATGCGATTCTATGCATTCGACAATTGAAAGGAAGATTTCAAGAAGGATAATAAATGTACCAGCAGACTATGTTAATTTAATAAAAAATGCCAGAAAAAACCCAAGACCTTGGCCTTGAGTACAATATCTAAACCATACTTATTTTAGAGATTTTTATAAAATCAATTTGATCAATTCAATTCGTCCTGGGTGATCCAACAGTGCAAAATATTAGAGCATTGAAATAGAATTCAGACGGATCCATAGAATATAAGATTAAGCATTCTGATGAATTTTAGATCCTTCCCGTCAGATTCAATAAGAAATGCTCAATTGTTCCCATGGAAAACCTGCCAAAGCCTCACCAAGATAAATTAAAAATTAAACGGGAAAAATTTGAACATCTTCAATCCCTAAAAAGTACCATAGAACCAGATTACCATCCTTTCTATGATAGTCTTGAACATGATTAGGCTTTATTTTTGTGCGTAATTTTTATTGTTAGTTAATATAGATTTATAATATCCAGCGTTTTGTTCTTTTATTAGCGACTAATAAAAAAATTTTAATAAAATAATAATTTTCTTTTTAAATGAAATTTGCTAAATGAAAAGTCCAAATATTTAACAAATTTTTTTGTGATTTTTGCCTAAGTCCATTAAATTATCCAAACTAAAAGTATAAGATATTTCTTTTAACATTTCTGAAATTATACTTCAAAACTAACATGATTCCAAAAAAAAACTACAAGCATTATAATTACTCTAAGATAAAAACTGTTTTTTTTTTCACCTCCTCTAAAATTTACATTTTGGTACTTACGCAATTTTCATATGATGCCGACGATATTACATATTACTAAATACCATCTATCAATACTGCAAGAAATACCCCTAGTCAGAAACCAAAACTTGACATGACTTGGCACGAGAGAAGCGATCTTTAATATGCAAAGATTAATACAGAATTGTTTAGATCAAATAAATGGTGTTTTTGTCTGTTTCATCGATTATGAGAAAGCATTCGATAATGTAAAGCACGAATTGATGATAAAATACCTACAAGAGTTAGGATTGGATGCCAAGGATATAAGAATTATCGCAAATCTGTATTGAAACCAGACAGCATCAGTACGTCTTGAAAATTTCAACGAAACAGAAGATTTCTCCCTTAAAAAATGAGTAAGGCAAGGTTGTATACTGTCTCCAATGCTGTTCAATTTATACGTAGAAAAAGCCTTCGCAGAAGCAGTGACACACTCTAATAAGGCTATTAAAGTTAATGGCATATTTATTTATAACATCAGATATGCCGATGATACAGCCATAGTGGCAGATAACATCGAAGATCTTTGGGAAGAAGTGAAGCTCGGAGTTTGATATAAATGAAATAAACATCAAGAAGACAAAAACAATAATTATAAGTAGAAATGATTCGAGCGAGGGTTGGGACCCCGAGAATGAAATAAAGAGCAGAGTTGAACAAGCCAGAAATGCTTTTTTGAGGCTTCGTAAGTTTCTGACTGATCGCAAATTGGACTTCAACCTTCGATACAAGATGCTTAAGTGTTACGTGTGGCCTGTTATTTTGTACGGAATGGAAGCATGGACGTTAAAGGCCAGTTCCATTAACAAACTTGAAGTGTTAGAAACGTGGTGCCTGCATCGAATACTAAGGCTACGGTTATATTGGACGCGTGGTCTGACAACCAATCAGTCGGATATAAACGGACGACATTGGTAGTGCGACTAGGTGGTCGGATTGCAAGCGTTTAACTGCGACTATGTGTTCAGAAAACATGGCCGAAGATGAAGAATATTTATTAGAAAATAATTTTGTACGTCTTTTGATGTTAGAAAACTCAAGAGTATGGATAAATGATATATATAGAAATAGAAAAGAAAATGGTGAGTTTCACTTAATATGGAATGATTTGTTACTCCAACCAAAGAAGTTTTTTGAATATTTTCGAATGTTACCTGAAACATTTAATTATATTTTGTCTCATATTTCCGAAAGACTGGAAAAACAGTCGAACTTTAGAAAGTGTATTCAACCAGCAGAAAAACTGGCATTAACATTAAGGTAAGTCATTACTTATGAAATTATTTATTAAACTAAATTTATTTTTCATACAAACTTAAAAAACAAATACTTTTTATGAAGTTAGGATATAAAAACTAAAATAAACTAAAAAAGTCAGTACACTACTGAAAATTATACAAATATTCTCGCACACCTGGACATCCTACTTCGTTTTCTGATGAATCTGATGGTATTTCCACTTGATGCCTGCTTTGATCGATTTTTTGATCCACTGTAGTAGTTCTTGTCCAGACAGACTGAGCATGTTGTTGGGCTTCCAAAATAACTTGTTGTATTTTTATTCGTACTGACAATTTTTGGTCTTCGGGTATTTTTTTCATGTACGGCATCAAACTCATGAAGAAATGGAAGTCACTATCTTCTTCCTTTGGCCTTTCCTTACACTTTTCTTTGTATGCTTTAAGTTTTTCTTCTTCTATAGCTACCATTTTTTCATATATCGAAGATTTAGCTTTTTTCCCCTTTGTACCCGTTTCCTTATCTGTATGAGCTATTTTAGCAGCCTTTTTGTGTCGTAGTGAAAATAATTTCAGTATTTAATTCTGGATCTGAATTTAATTCATAATTATGATTTCTATCATAATCAGATTCAGGGATTGTATCTGGCGTAGTGTTTTTATCATATAAATTTTCTTGGTTATTGAGAGGAGGAATATTTCCTCTAGCATTTCGTTGGGTCATGTTGTCTTTTAGGAAAAGCATCATTGTGAAATAAGGCCATTTTGATGTTACTAATATTTCACCAGAATCTCCGGATCGCCCTTTATTTGTTTTTGCTAGTTCTTTTCTAAAGTTATCTCTTAATCCTCGCCATTTCGATTTGAGTACGTCACCTAAAAGTCAAGAAGTAAATAGTATGTTTTAGAAAATGAAAAATTAAATACGTTTTACGGTGAATTGAAACAAAATTAATAAGCTAAAATTCATCTTTAAAGTGTGTGTGTCTGCGCCAATAATTATTATCTAAAACAATTATCTATAATTATAATAACAATTATCAATAATTATTGTCTTAAAATAATTAATTCATTTTGTTTGTTGTTTTAGATATCTTTCCACTGGACTCGCTTTTCGCTCTTTCACGTTCTCATTCAGAATGTCTCACACAACCATAAGATTAATTGTTTACGAAACGTGCACTATCATATGGGAAACTTTTTATGAACGGCATATGCCTTTTCCAACAGAAGACATGTTTCGATAAATTTCCAATGATTTTTTGAATAAATGGAATTTTCCGAATTGTATAGGATGTATCGATGGCAAACATATTCGAATACGATATCCCTCTAATTCGGGATCCATGTATTATAACTACAAACGATATTTCTCTGTAGTACTTCAAGCAGTTGCAGATGCAAAGTACAGATTTACCTGCGTTGATATTGGGGCTTTTGGAAAACAAAGCGATGGAGGTGTTTTTTCACATAGTTCGCTATATCAGCATCTTGAAAATAAGTCGTTAAATGTACCAGAAGATAGAACACTTCCACAAAGTAATTTGGTACTTCCGTATGTCCTTCTTGGTGATGAAGCATATCCTCTCAAAACCTAATTAATGAGACCCTATCCCAAAAGAGATTTGCAGGAAGAAGAAGAAGTATTTAATTATAGACTTTCAAGAGCGAGAAGAATGGTGGAATGTGCTTTTGGGATATTAAGGTCCAAATGGAGAGTATTAAAAAACGAAATGAAAGTTTACCCCGACAAAGTTGATATAATTGTAAAATGTACATGTATTCTTCATAACATTGTTATTGACCAGGAAAGTATAAAGGAATTCAATCTTTCAGAAACAGTGGCAACTATGGGGACGCACCAACCAAATAGATCAAGAATAAACAACAGAGCAAATCAACAAGCATATGATATTAGAGATGCTTTTAAAACCTATTTTAATAGTAACGCTGGGTGCGTTGCATTTCAATATGATCGTTTTTAACCTTTCATAATATAAAATGCATATA